CTGACTAAGGCCCTTCTCCCCCGATTGCTCAGTTTGGCCGGACGGCCAGCTCTAGGAGGAGTCTTGGTGGTTCCAAACTTCTTCCGTTTAAGATTGATGGAGGCCACTGTGTTTTTGGGGACCTTCAATGCTGCAGAAATGTTTTGGTACCACCAAGACTCCTCCTAGATGGGATGGCGTATCGCTGCAGAATGCTGTGGAAGCCATGTGCCTTGAATTCTAAATAAGTGTCACCAGCAAAGCACCCCCACACCATAACACCTCCTCCTCCATGCTTTAAGGTGGGAAATAAGCATGCGGAGATAATCCGTTCACCCACACCGCGACTCACAAAGACACGACGGTTGGAACCAAAAATCTCCAATTTGGACTCCAGACCAGAGGACACATTTCCACCGGCCTAATGTCCATTGCTCATATTTCTTGGCCCAAGCAGGTCTCTTCTAATTATTGGTGTCCTTTAGTAGTGGTTTCTTTGCAGCAATTCGACCATGAAGGCCTGATTCACACAGTCCCCTCTGAACAGTTGATGTTGAGATGTGTCTTTTACTTGAACTCTGTGAAGCATTTATTTGGGCTGCAATTTCTGAGTCTGTTAACTCTAATGAACTTATCCTCTGCAGCAGAGGTAACTCTGGGTCTTCCATTCCTGTGGCAGTCCTCATGAGAGCCAGTTTCATCATAGCGCTTGATGGTTTTTGCCACTGCACTTGATGAAACTTTCAAAGTTCTTGAAATGTTCCGTATTGACTGACCTTCATGTCTTAAAGTAATGATGGACTGTCATTTATCTTTGCTTATTTGAGCTGTTCTTGCCATAATATGGACTTGGTCTTTTACCAAATAGGGCTATCTTCTGTATACCCCCCCCCCCCCCCCCCCCCCCCCCCCCACACACTTTCCGAATGCGCTGTATTCAGTGACGTTATTCTTTGCCTTTATTTGACAAGGTAAGTCATTGAAAATAAATGATATTTTACAATAACAACATCGACTGGCAGGTATGTCAGTTGAGGACAGAAAGAAAGTAAAATCTTTCTCTTGTTCATTTTCTGATCTGCTTCACACTGAGGGATTGTGGGATTGTGGAGTCCAAACAGCGAGGTCACAGACTCTAACACAGGGAAGTAAGAAAGGAACACAACCTCACTCAACCACCACACAACCTTTCCCATCAGCCATCTGAACGTAACCTGACTGCTTAACCTGAGCACAAGCTTTCATATCTTCTATCTGTTTCATAGAGCAGATTTGTAATGAGATAATAAAAAACTAAAAAACAAAGATAAAAGGTCTAAATATCATAGTCAAAAATACATTCACCAATTTGATTACACAATGGAAAGTAATGATACTGAATAGCCGGGTTATTACAGCTTCAGAGAGCTGTGTTTCTATAGTATATGGGGCTTCACAAAATAATAGATACAGCATGTGATCTTAACTACCTGTTGCTTCACAACTCAGCTTTAATGGAGGCTGAGGGTCTGATGGCTTCTGATGGCATCTCATTAGCAACTATGAAGTGACGTTAATCATTTTAGGGAAGAAATGTGTGATTTCTATTTACATATTGGTGATGGAATAGGGAGACAGGTGTATGGTGTGTGACTGAGAACACCTGTTACAATACATGCTACCCTCTTTAATCTTCTCTTCAATACTTCCCGTCCCCCTTCCTGCAAACACCTTCCCCTCCATCCAACCCTCAGGCAGGTGATCGAGGTAGTCATAATCAGACCTAGTCTAAACACTCATACAGTAGAATCACAGATTATCACACACATTTATTGTGTTCACTTCCTATAGGCCCTATAGATCAGTGATTGCACTATGTGTTTTAGCATTCATTCAGTTATTCATTCATTCGTTCATTTGTGTTTTCATGTGTTTTATGTGTGTCTCTTTTGGAGGGCCTTGAAATTTGAAGAATTTATGTTTAAAAATAGTATAAATGAATATCCACGATAGTATGTCTTCCAATGAATTAACCATAATGTTTGAACTTTAGTAGGTAAATTGGTAAACCTTTGCCTTTCTATGGCTTTGACCAAGCTCAGGCTCTTATTGCCTGAGAGTGTCTGGGGATCTGAGCAGAGTGCTAACACATATACGCCTTCCGTACCAGTGATTTAAACTAAACACGGCTGCCTCGCAACTCAACACAAAGGACTCGACAATCGCATTGTGCAATTCCCAAGAAAGCCGCCCACAGACATTTATACAGTGAGTCTGGCGACCAGCAGCTCGACAGTGTGTCAGAACTCGCTTGGAAGGCTGACAGTTTGTGCTGCTACGCCAAGGACAGGAAGTGCTCGCGGAGGGACAGGAAGTGCTCACCGCTGCAGTAGCCGAGGCTGGAACTGAGATAATGCCATTGTGTAAGCAAGCCGAGTGACCTCTCCCTGAGCGTGGAGCCCAGAGGCTGGCGTCGAGAGCCCAGGCCCCCACCCAGCTCCAGACTCCCCAGGCACGGGGTGGGGGACACGGGAGGACGGGGGATGGGCGCGGGACGTATCGCCTCCCCTTATTGCTCCCCTCCCTCCTCTGGGTGGACTCTGAACCTCACCTTGTATAGGAAATATGGCTTTTTGACTTCTCCCGTTAAAATATAGTATTTTTCTCTCCCACACACCAGGAGAGAGCCAACGCATGCACACACACACACATGCATCATGGCTGCTCGCACTCACACATGCACACACATAGACACATATAAACATTCACACACACATATTTAAACTCGTGAGGTTTCAGTCCAGTCTCATGGGACTACGGGGGAAAACCGTATCAGGTCATCAGTGGTAAAATAGACGATGCCAGTATTATAACACCAGATCCTGTCCCAGCGCTGGGCTGGGACAGAGCAAGACCCCTCCAACACCACCCCCTCCAAGAGGGTCAGCCAGTATACTCTGGATCCCCTGCTAGTATCGAGATGGGGCACGATGGGGTTGTATAAGCATCTCTCATATTTCTGTCAGCCCTCTTTGACCTGCGAGAGGAAAGGCTCCAGTCTGACATGCTGTATCTAACTGTGCATGGCATGATGGGAATAGCTCGAGGACAGACGAAGAAAAGACAGAGCTGGCAGGTTAAGCCCTGCTGACACTGATAAGGATGTCTGCAGTCTTTGGCTGTTGTTTTGACCACTATGGACATGGCTTGGTTCTCGACTGCTTATTAAAACATTAAAATAGAGTTAGGTCAGTGGGTGAACTGATATTCTGGCTGCAGATGATTCAATCAACAGTAGCTCTCTCACCTCTCCTTGTTCTCTCCTGTCTTATGTAGGCTGCATGGCGATTGGCAGCTCACTACAGGATTGTAGGCGATAGACAAGGGATCAGCCATGGTTTTCTAACAACATTTTTGTGAGCAGTGGTCATGTCTGTGACAGATGAAAATAAGCTTTAGATACTTCCTATATATTGCTTGTTCAGGCTGCTGGACCTCTTTTATTCCTAATTTTAAGCGCTGATTAATTACTTTACAATGTATACACAATTACACACTTTATCTCTCATTCATCCACCACCAGTGCTTGACTTTGACTGAAAAAGGTACCAGTACTCATTTTGGGTGCCGGTACTGTTTATATTTAGGTGCAGGAGATCCACAATACTTTTGAGCTAATATTCTATAAGAGGAACAGGAGCTCAAGCAATAGAATAGTTGAGGTGCCAGTACTCAGCTCCAGTGAGCTCCTGCCAATGTGTGGAGGAGAGTGGTGTGTGTAGGGTTTAGGATCCTGAGTGACCAAAGTCACCTGCAACATGCCATTAGTGATGTATTAGTGACCCCTCCCACTCAATGGTACTTGTGCCAGTAAGTGATGTATTGTACAACCAGGAATGACAGTCTGGACCATAACCTAATGTAATGACTTGTTTTGACAGTTTCAAATGAAAAAGACAGGGATATAACTTCTGCTAGGGGTGAGAGAAACCGATTTGTAGACCTCACCTACCTAGGCTTGGAGACCCACCCTAGGCTTGCTGTAGGAGACAACCATGTCATGTTCGGTCTTGAAGAATGAGACTGGCATGCTGCCCAATAATCACCACTGCTTATGGCCCTTGTGTCCCCTAACTGTGCCCCAGGTCCTGCACTTCACAGACAACAAAGGCCGATAGATGGGTGTTTATTTAATCTATCTCGACTGTTTGCAAATGTAGTGTATTCACCAGCATCTGGTATAAGAATTTCTAATCCCTAATTAACGCTTCTTTGACTCAACTTAATCTACATCCAGCCTCAGTCAATGGCTGTGAACTCTAGCAGACTGTCTAAAATGATTCTAAAATCTGCGCTATAGAAATATAATTATTTCCTGCTGAAACCTGAACTTCCAGTTACCAAATCCATCATCTCAATACACAGATGAAAGAGAGTGCGTGTGTATTAGACCTATGTCTGAATAATATAGACTTTAGGAGAGTTTAAACTTACAGGTGGTAGGCTAATATAAAGTCATATAAAGATGACAAAAAACTTTAATAAAGATTCGAAAGTGATGGCATGAGCAATTGAGAACATGTCTCGCAGAACAGCAGCACATTCATTTAATTCAAATGTTTCTGAAATAAGTGACTTTGTAGCCTATTAATTATTTGATATTTGCTCAATTTGGCCTTATTTTGTGCATATGGCCCTATAGATTGATTTATCCTAAATTATTTTGTGGAGTTTATGTCACGAACGCAATATGTTCTATTTGAATCATAACTGCAAAACGCTCAATAACACTAGGCCTACGCCCACAGTCTTGTATCACATGAAAAAACTAACAATTAATATAAGTTTAAATGTAAATGAAATGTTTAATCCATTCTCTAACTTTAGGCACCTCATATTACACAAATAGGACAGTGTGTGTCTGGAAGGCGGGTTACTTGAAACGTTTTACACCTCAGGGGTACTGGGCACTCCCACCCTATTGTGATTGGTTGCCTATGCGCTTATAGTATCCCAACCTCAGGGTAAGATAGTCAGTTCTAGTTTAGTCAGCTCCTAGCTATTATCTAACATTGATGGATATTTTCCACTCAGTTTGGAATCGTTACGCTTACTTGCGTTATTAAAACTTTAATTGTATATATCTACACAGCAAGTGCTACTTATTTTCTCATTTTCTTTACGCGAGTTGCTGCCTGGTCTGTGTCGATAACCCGCAGGTGGACAGCGATGAGTAGTCCCGATGCGGGTTACGCCAGTGACGATCAGAACCAGGCTAGGTGCGCGATCTCAATCATGATGCCTGGAATGGGACACTGTCAGTGGTCAGACCCCCTGAGCCCTCTCGGGGACACCAAAGTGAAGAGCGAGTCCAGCTCCGGGAACCAGAACCGTGGGAAGAATGAGCCGAGGATCCGGAGACCCATGAATGCGTTCATGGTGTGGGCGAAGGATGAGCGCAAGCGGCTGGCACAACAAAATCCAGACCTGCACAATGCGGAGTTGAGCAAAATGTTGGGTAAGGCAATTAAATAGTAATTGATTGTGTAGGCCTGTTACTGACATGATATTTATAAAGACCAATGGGAATTTCTTGTTTATCAAGTATTTCAATAATATTTCATAAGTGACCAAATACTAGGGAATTGTTATTATTTTAAGCAGGTGTGTTACCACGTGGAAGCATACTGCATTTATTCGAGCAGAAATATTATAAATATTATTGTATGCCTATACTTCAATGATTTTGGTTTGTAGTAGGCTATTTGCATAGGGCCTAATTATCTTGAAAAGTCATAATTTTTCTTGAAAAAGCACATGATGCTAACGCCCTTATCTTATTATGGCCATTGAAATATAGGTTAGGTAACTCAAATGAATCAATTACAACAAATGTATGATCAATAATAATGGTCATGTTATTTCGAAATCAAAGTTCTCCTGTTACTATATTGATGATGAGCTATTTTGGAGCACATCACCAGACTGCATGCCTGATGCGGCTATAACTGAGGTGAACTCTGTTGTTGATCTGTAGGGAAGTCATGGAAAGCCCTTCCTGTGTCTGAGAAGCGGCCGTTTGTAGAGGAGGCTGAGAGGCTTCGAGTGCAGCACATGCAGGACCACCCCAACTACAAGTACCGACCCCGGCGGAGGAAGCAGGTGAAGAGGATTAAGCGCCTGGACTCTGGGTTCCTGGTCCACAGCATGTCCGACCACCAGAGCACCTCCCTAGGTGGGGACGGTAGGGTGTGTATGGAGAGCCTGAGCTACCACCATGAGCATGGCTACCAAGTGTCTCCTCAATCCCTCAGCCACTACCGTGAAGCCCAGGCCCTCGGAGGGAATTCCTACGAATCCTACAGCCTGCCCACCCCCGACACGTCACCGCTGGACGCCGTGGAGACAGACTCCATGTTCTTCCCCGGTCACTCTCAGGAGGAGTGCCACATGATGCCTGTGTATGCCTACCACTCCCAGGGGGCAGAGTACCCACCTCAGGACCCTCACTCTAACCACCACACCAACCCCATGCTCCACAGACACCACTCCTCCCCCACAGAGCAGCAGCAAGCCTCCCAGGCTGGCCCCATGCCCCCCTCCTTCAACCAACTGGCCATGTACTACAGCCAGCACTGCAGCCCCAGTCACCCCAAGCGACACCCAGGCCATGGAGCAGGACAGCTCTCCCCTCCCCCAGACTCCCACTCCCACCCAGTAGACCAGGTGGAGCAGATGCACCCCTCAGAGCTGATAGGGGAGGTGGACCGCAGTGAGTTTGAGCAGTACCTGAACTCCTCCAGACCTGGAGACATGACAGGCCTGTCTTATGGGGCGCATGAGGCCAACATGCAGGGACCTGAGAGTCTGATATCCTCTGTGCTCTCTGATGCCAGCACAGTGTACTACTGTAACTACAACAACTCCTAACCTCCTGGTCCTCCCTGTCTGTCAATCACTACTACTGCAGCTATTACAGTACATAACCTGACCTCAAATGTCTCTCTCTCTATTTCTATCTTCTCTCTCTCTCTCTCCCTCCCTGTCTAGCTCTGTCTTTCTCTTTCATTCTGTTACCATTAAAGGCCAGTGGGAACTCTTTCATTTGAGGTTTTAAATCCAGTATGTTATTTTCTTTTTTGTGTGAAGGACGTTCAATGTGTATCACTTTATGAGCTGAGAAGCTATAGGACATTTGAATTGTGATGATGATTGTTCACACACTGGTTTCGATTTTATTTTTGTTCCCTTCCTTTTTTGCAAAGAGGAAAGCTCCTGAGCAGGAATATAAATACATTTTGTGATAATAAATAATGTACAGTTTCTATTTGAAGGTTTTATGTATAGGTGTTTTATACTTTTGCACTTTTAAAAAATAAAGTTTTGAACCAAAATAGATGTTCCCTTTCAGTTTTTTGGTTTTTAATTACATTACCTCACCTTTTTATTGTTGAAATACTGCACCACACAAATTCTTATATTCATGCACTGAGGTAATAGCCATATTTAGTTATTAGTGCAATGTTTTCATTGTTTATACATAGCAACATTTACATCATTTGTAGAGGTTATAGACTATGTGTTTAAAGTAATTAATAATCACATTTGTTGAAACCATTTTTTTTGCCATAAGATAACTTATTCGTATACCATATAGACATTAGTGGTAGTCTAGATTAATTTCACAACAATATATAAAGAAAATTGATCTGATAATGTTTTACATCTAGCAAATGTATGTATTTGTTTTCTTGATGGTAGCGCTGTGGAACGTTGTGGAACAGATCACCTGGCAACAAAGTTCCTCCACAGTGGAAGGCTCTGGTCTGGCTTCCTGCCCCGGTTAGAATAGAGGTGATCTCAGGGTCTGACTTACACATGGCGCCTTGTTTTCACAGCATGGGAATACAGTTTATGTCCCGGACATCCTGTTTCTAAGTGATGTAGTCTCCCCTGATTAATGGCAGAGGCCATTAAATATGAGTGTATTTACTACACCTATGCTAGACAATGGAGAGGCATACAATACTAAACTTTTGTATACACATGTATTTTGATAGCCAAATAAAAGGTATAGGTTAAAGTTTCTCAACAGATAGTATATCTATAGCATGGATTAATTCAGAAAACATATTAAGATATGGACATTTGTTGTTGAAAGGATGAGGAAGGTGTTATGAAGTACATCAAGACAACAATTCAGATGTATTTATAGTTGAACAAGAGGGTACCGTTTTATAAATAAAGATCTTCCTTTTGAAAGGAAGAGATTCTTCTCTGAGGGGTCAATCACCCTGACCCCAGAATCCATTTTCAGTACTCTAGAGGAAGCATGTTCCAAAGCTGTATATTCCTCCACTTTGTTAATGTCCAATGTTTTGAAATCTCTCCCATGTAACACAAGCAGAGGTTGGATCGCAAGGTAGATATTCCCTGTTCTTCCCACGCTCATTATGATGCTGTAATTTTAAAGATTTTAAATCTTCAAGAACAATAAAATGCTCATTTTAAATATATGGATAAACCATATCCGAGTGTGGGTGACTTGCTCTGTCCCGGTCCTGTTTTATTCATCTAATTTGTGACGCATTGTGGATTTTTCCACTTAAAACATCCAAGATGGTCATTAATCCAGTGCTGCATATGACTGCCATTTTCTCTTTATACTGTGTTACTGTAATACATAAGTTCTACACCAAACACACACACAAAACACAGATAGGAAAACAGGGCAGGAAAATTGATAAGAAAAGAGAGAGAGAGAGAGAGAACGAGAGAGAAGAAGACAGAGAAAGAGAACACACTGATAGACGTAGCCTACAGTCCAGGAAACAGGGGCTTTATGTGGTGCTCCTGTGTACTGGGAGAGGTGGTGAGTGTCCTAAGGCCTGTCTGTCTGACAGCGAGTGGCTGGCCAGGCCGGGAAGGGGGAGGATGGGAGTAGTCAGGGAGATTACCTTTAGGCTCGGCCGGGTGGCTCTCTACATTAACACAGGAGCACTTAATCACAGCAACGCACTAATCTTACCTCAGGTAGCTAGCTGCCTTTCACAAATACAGCTTTATTCAAAGACAAAAAAACAGGGGAAATATGGCTTTATTTACCACAAACATGGTAAAATAAGTTTCATTCACTCACAGATAAAGTCACAAACAGCTTTAGCCAGTACAGAACATAAAGAAATAGATACCCCAATATCTGTCACAATTAAACACTGTTGAAAATCCTCTGTCCCTTATGAATGGCACAGATACAGTCTCTGTATTGTAACAGACAGAAGAGACCCATGCTATGTCTTATGAATAACATTTGCCTTGAAAAATCTGGCTTTGCCCCAAGCCTCCAATTGAGAATTTGTTAAGGGTTACTATGACAACAAAAACACAGCAATGAGATACAATCTATTACTCGGAACAACAATCAAAGCAAACCCTGCATACTTTAGTCATAACTGGCACCCAGGAAGACAGAGAACATGCAAGAGCAAAATCAAAGCAGTTTCCTGCTAACTATTCTTGGTAATGAACAGTTGGAATATTTAGGTTGTGCAATTAAATCACATTAAAAAAGGAAGGTACGAGAGAAAGAAAGGACAGTAAGAATGATAGTAAGCAACCCTGGCTGCCGATGAAGTCATTGATAGTGGATTGCATATACAGAATGTGAGACAGCTGCAGACACAGAGGAGGGTGTGTCTGTTCCCTGTCTAAACCAGGGTTTGGGGTGGAGGGTGATTCTATAATCCCAGGCAAATGCCCTCCTTCTCGGGGCCTGATCGGTTTCATAGCCCCTGACTGTCAGAACGACCAGGGTCCAGTTGTGTTGCCACTAAATATAGTCCACATCAAGTCAATCTCTGTTCCATGCAGTGACTCAATCGTTTATTTTTCTTCTAATTCTGCCCCTTGCCTTGTCTCATACGATTATAAATAGCTCTCACAGGAGTGGGTGGTGAAGAAACATCATGTGGGTCCCTCTCCTTTTGACATGACCTCAGTTACTATATCAGTGATTCTCTGAATGGGTCTAAAGCACCATTTTCTGAGACATTAAGAGTAGCCTCACTATTGACTTTTATACAATATTACTATACAGCTTTTATAGATTTATGCAAAATTAATACACTGTCATTTCTGCCTGAAGGAAAAGGGGAAATGTAAACATGATCAAACCAATAAATACTAGCACTAAAATAAATAAAATGTTAACAGCAGCGCACACACTGTGAATGTATATACTGTACATTCAACATTTAGCTCTTGGCTTATTTGCCATAGGAAAAAATGATTGAGTCAGAAAGGTGAATAAACTTGAGGGCTGTTCTGATCAGCTCTCTGTACTCTTGTTCCAATCTCCTCATGGCATCTCCAGGCATTTTTTAGCTTGTGTCCAGTCGGGTAGTGATTAGAAGATGACAACATCAGCAGTCAGTTTCCTCTCTGCTGTGTTTTCCTATGGAGGGTGGATAGGTGGGGGTATGGGGAGGCGAGGCTGTGGTAGAGCCCACACATAACTGGGGGTAGTGTTGGTGTTTGTGCCCAGTATCTTTTCTTCACAGCTATCCCCTGTAGGTCAAGACTTCAACCACTTAAGGAAAACTTCAGGAAATAGTATCAGTGATCAGTGTTGTACCTCTGTGCAGGTCTGTCAACAGACAATATATTGACAAACAGTGACTAACTTTTATCAGTAATATGATGGGTTCAGCACAGTGGCGGTCGGTGCCGTTTAAGATGAGGGAGGGTGATTATTATTTTAATGAACATGGCCTTATTTCTATTACAGCATATTGGATGACTGTCATTTATATTCCATTCACCCAGCTCAATGTAACATGATAGGTTTAGGCTACTACATGATACTCGAATTTACCCTGTACACATCATGAGGTTGCTACAACCTAGCCTATGAATGAAAGTTTACAACGTAGGTGCACAGGTCGAGAGAATTTTGAGTAATCAAGGTGACAGGCAGTGACACATTCAATACCACGTTTGCACATTCTAGCTGATCTAGGGTGTAATCATTAGTCCAACAGTTGCACACGATAGTTTCTATTGGACAAATTCAGTTATATTTATCCCTGTTTCGTTCCATTTGCTTCCGTTTAAGATTTTCAACATAATCGGAGCAATGAATACACCCCTGATCACACGCAAACACAGTTCACTTTCATAGCAGCCACATACAAACAGCTCATTGTATATATAATTCCTTCTCGCATCTATCTACGTGTTCTCCTCCTCTCACTTTTTCCCTTCGCTTGTGAACTTCAGTGAACAAGACATCAGCTGTCTGTGACCAGCTACTACTACAATCATGCAGTACAGTGTACAGTCAGCAGCAAGCAGTTTAGCAGTTACACCGGTGGGCCCCGGTGGCAATAAATTAATCAAACCAAAAGCTTACCTTGACTTGGAAGAGTTCCAGTGTTGGATAGCCATTGTCAGCTAGCTAACATAGCATCCCTCTCTGTCTGAGCCCTCTCTGTCTCTTGTCTTTGTCTCTCTGAGTCAACAACTCACCACATTTTATGCACTGAAGTTCTAGCTAGCTAGCTTTTGCTTATGCTTTCAGTACTAGATTAATTCTATGATCCTTTGATTGGGTGGACAACATGTCAGTTCATGCTGCAAGAGCTCTGATAGGTTGGAGGACGTCCTCTGGAAGTTGTCATAATTACTGTGTACGACTATGGAAGGGGGTGAGAACCATGAGCCTCCTAGGTTTTTTATTGAAGTCAATGTACCCAGAGGAGAACAGAAGCTAACTGTCCTCCAGCAACACCATGGTGTTACCCTACAGTGTGCTGCTGAGGCTACTGTAGACCTTCATTGCAAAACAGTGTGTTTTAATTACATTTACATTTACGCTCTTATCCAGAGCGACTTACAAATTGGTGCATTCACCTTATGATAGCCAGTGGGACAACCACTTTACAATGTATTTTTCTTAATTTATAAAATTTTATTTTTAGAGTATATTTTACATTTTCTTTTGTTTTATATATATATATATATATATATATATATTTTTTTTTATATATATTTTTTTTATTGTGGGGTAGGGGGGGGGTAGAAGGATTACTTTTATACTATCCCAGTTATTCCTTAAAGAGGTAGGGTTTCAAGTGTCTCCGGAAGGTGGTCAGTGACTTCGCTGTCCTGGCGTCGTGAGGGAGCTTGTTCCACCATTGGGGTGCCAGAGCAGCGAACAGTTTTGACTGTGCTGAGCGGGAACTGTACTTCCGCAGAGGTAGGGGGACCAGCAGGCCAGAGGTGGAAGAACGCAATGCCCTCGTTTGGGTGTAGGGACTGATCAGAGCCTGAAGGTAAGGAGGTGCCGTTCCCCTCACAGCTCCGTAGGCAAGCAGCATGGTCTTGTAGCA